GAGAGAGAGAGAGAGAGAGAGAGAGAGAGAGAGAGAGAGAGAGAGAGAGAAGGGAAGAAAATACAATGAGGGAAGAAGCTTATAGAACTTCCAGGAAAGCTTTGTTGACTTCCCCATGTTTTATTTTTATTTTATCTGTTTATTAATTTGTTTTTTTGGAAACAGGGTCTCAAGTAACTCAGGCTGGCTTTAACTCACTATGTAGCCAAGGATGACCTTGAACTTCTCATCCCCCTGTGTCCTCCGGAATGCTGGGGTTATGTGTGTATACTACCATCATACCTGGTTTAGACTGCCCCTGCATTTGAGAGAGGCATTGCGCACGGTGCCCTTCCAGGGCCAGAGGAAACCCGACCAAGGGGGGAAACGTGGCAAATGGCCCCCATCAGGCAGCGTGGCAAGCCCTTCACTGGTGTTTGGCATTAAGGAGCCAGTGCTGTGGGCCCAGCTGGGGAGACAGACATTCCCCGGGAAGTGCAGACTGCGTGGAGATGGCAAGGATCTGAGTTTGAACGTGGAGGAGAGTGTGCAGCAGGGCCAGGGAATGCTCAGGCCTTCGAGGCAGAAACAGCAAGGAGGCTGGAGAGCAGGGACGCTTGAGGAGCCAGGCTGTGTGAAGGAATCTGGACTTGATCCCAAGAGCAGTGGGGAGCCACTGGAGCTGTGGATGGGAGCTTTATAATCCTGCACTGAGAAATGTTTTCACTTGGCTTTCTGCTTTGAAAAAAAAGTGGATTTTGATTTGTATACTTGCCAGGCTGATTTTTTTTTGGTGTGTTTTTTTTTTCTTTTTTTTTTTTTCAGATATAGAAAATAAGAAAGCGATGGAATGCGTGTTTATTTTCAGGGTTAAATGTGCCTAACAGATGCAAATTGCCTCAAGTTTTCTGTGTAGTCTATAAATGGTAATTTCCTTATCTTTCCTCTAAATTCCATTCCATAATTTCTGCTATTTCAGGAGCGTGGAAGACGAGCAAGCCTCCCTGCAGACTGAAGATAAATTCCACTGGAAGGACACGGAGTCGATGTGCCTTGCAATCTGATTGGCTCTAACCATCAAAAGGTGGTTATTTGACTAACTTATTATGCAGATAGCAAGCTTCCTCATGATCACGAAACATACCGTTAGATTTATGGAAATGAAATTTGCGTCTAACTTTTCTTTTTTTTTTTTTTTTTCTTTTTTTTGGTTTTTCGAGACAGGGTTTCTCTGTGTAGCTTTGGTGCCTTTCTTGGAGCTCACTTGGTAGCCCAGGCTGGCCTCGAACTCACAGAGATCCTCCTGGCTCTGCCTCCCGAGTGCTGGGACTAAAGGCGTTGCCACCACCGCCCGGCGCGTCTAACTTTTCAAAATATTGTTTTTAAATCATGGTGTGTGTTGGCGGGGTCTGTGCACACGAGTGCAGGTGCAGGAGGAGCCAGAGGCCCCGGCCCCCTGGAGCTGGAAGTCGCTGGGAGGGGTGCCGGGAACTGAACTCGGATCTTCTGAGAGCTTCCTAACTGAGCCATCCCCTCTAGCCCCAACTTCTTTGGTTTTTGTCTTTTGAAAGACAGGGTCTCAATATGTGGCCCACCCAGGCCGCAAACCTCCACGCTTCCTGATTCAGCCTCCCGAGTTTGGGAATACACCTGTTAGCACACATCCAGCTGCATCCGCCCTGTTGAGGTCCTGGTTTGTTTTTTTGTTTGTTTTCTACATTGCTTCCTGTGTGTGGGTTGGGGTGTTGGGCACACCTGCAGAGGCCAAAGAACAACTGGGGGGGGGGGTTGGTTCTCTCCTTCCACCGTGTACCGAACTCAGGTAGTCAGGCTTGGTGGCAAATGCCCTTACCCACCAGGCCACCCCACCAGCCCCAATTCCCCTCTTTGAAAGTATATTTATTTAATACAGAGAAGACCAAACCCGCTCAGCTCACGTCCCTTGTTGCTCACACATGTACACACCCGCCCCCCCAATTGACTGGCCACATGGACTCTCGAATATTGGTAGATGGATTTAAATACTGGAATTTATTTCCCGTTAAATCTTGACTCAGGGGCATCAGTTCTGGAGTGTTCTCTTTATAGTTGTTAACATGAATTTTGATGGCACGAAAAAGCTTGTTCTCCGGATTATATTTAGCTCATACAAACTCCACTGCACAATTATGTTGTAAAGAGAAATTAGACTTTCTCTTTACGTTGTTATTATAGCTCTGGGAAAAGGTGAATGCGCAGATGATCTACACAAAGCCTAGCATGCTGTATTATTAATGTTGCTTTTTTTTTTTAAGTTTAACATAGTGTAGGGCCTACGACAGGCTGACGAGGTGTGGTCGGTGTAGACAGGGTCTACATAAGAAACAGATGGCATGCTCAAATTGGATGATTAGAGGAGGGTTTAATCACGGGACGATTGACGAAGTTTGGGTAGGGTACAAGGAACTCTAGGAGTGGTACAGTGCCCAAGGAGCTAGAAATAGCCTTCCCCAGTCTTAGATGTGAAGTCTCGGAAGAAGTTACAGAGCCCAGAAAGAGAGGGTTCTGGGGACCAGGCTCCTTCGTGTGTGTGTGTGGGGGGGGGGGTGACCTGCTATGGGAAGACACCACCAACCTGAGGCACTGTGGGAGGGCAGGAGCTGGGGGAATTCATCTCCTCGTTTTATACCCTTTCTGCCTGCTGCTCCCAAGAGCTGGAGGGTGAGGGAGCGGAGCCCCAGGGCAGAAAGCAGCATGGAGAAGAGCGGGCAGGTGGATCCGATACTATAGGTTTAATCTCCATGTTGAATAAAGGTGATGGGAGGGGGGCGGGGCACTACGATGGCTCCATGGGTAGAGCGGTTGCCGCCAAGCCTGAAGACCAGAATTTGATGGCGGGTGCCCTGGACACATCACGTCGGAAGGAGAGGACCGGCTTTAATACATTGTCCTTTGTCCTACACACACACACACATACACACACACACACATACACACACACACACACACACACACACAGAATTAAAAATAAATCTTTAACAAGGGAAGGCTTGCCTCCTCTCTCAAAGCACATGTTTAGAGTTCTGCATAGTAATAGGACCGCATGGGTCTCAGGATTAGATGTTATGTCCCGGAAAGCAAGGGAGGCCAGGCAAAGCAGGCAGGATCCGAAGCTCGCAAGGGCCAGAGGCAATTACGTCCCTTACTATGGCTGTGCCCTTTTAGGTAGCAGGGGAACAGTCCATTTTTCAAGCAGAGAAACCAGAAAAGGATTTGCCAGCACCGCTCTGGAAATGGCCTTGCTTTCATGAATGGAATGAATTGTGGTCTTGCATTTTTTTTTTTCTCCTTATACATCTATTTATTCCGCAGGGGGAAGCTGTGTGCCTTTGCCTCTGTGTGCACATGTGGAGGTCAAGGGACAATTTGCTGAAGTCAGGTTTTTTTTTTTTTTTTCCTTCCAGCCTGTGGGTCCCAGGGGTCCAACCCAGGGGGGTCATCAGGCGTCTTGTGTGTCTGGAATCACTCCCTTCTTTGCTGAGGTCCTCTAGGAAGAGGAGGGGACCGGTCTTCTTTAGTGACATGACTCTGACAAACAAATCAATCCGTTCCATTTGCCTCCGTCTCTTGAAAACAAGCAATCCTCCAGCGTTACATAATCGCATCTTCATGGCTCGCTGGCTCGTTCCGTCCTCCTGAGGAATCGGCAGATGGTGCCAACGCGGAGACCCGCGCACACGCACACGCCTCGCCAGCCTCTTGAGAGTGGCTCTGTCACAGTGTCTGTCTCTCCACCGTGGGGTCCCTCGCTGGCATTTCTTTCTCTGCATCGGTCTGCACTTTCTCCTTCCTTGGGCACCGCGGGCTTCCTGCCTTCGGCGACCATTCCAAGATTAATTTGAAAACGCCGAAAGCTCGTAAAAAGGGAACAGAAAGCAAAGTGGATAGGGCAGAGAATAATATGTTCGACTCCGCCCCCGCAACACCACCAAAGCCTTCCTCTGTTTTAGCTGGAGACGGCTTCATTCAGCCTGGTCCCGGGGTCCTCTGGATCGTTAAGCTAAAAGGAGGGTAGGAACAGGGTTGCCTGAGCTCAGAGGGTAGAGAGATCTGCCCAGGGACATCTCAAAGTGTCTCCTGCCGGGCGGCGGTGGCGCACACCTTTAATCCCAGCACTCGGGAGGCAGAGCCAGGGGCATCTCTGTGAGTTCGAGGCCAGCCTGGGCTGCAGAGCGAGATCCAGGACAGGCACCAAAACTACACGGTGAAATCGTGTCTAAAAAAAAAAAACCTATTGAGAAAAAATAAATTAAAAAGAAAAATAAAGTGTCTTGCCAAGCAAGTCACATCCTTGTAGAAGTGGCAGCTCCCTAGATAAGGCAATGACTTGGGATCCACCCTTACACCAGTAATGTCAGCGTTGCTTTGGAGAACTTATCTCATGATTCTGTGAAGTGAGACGCTCCCAGCTCGGCCCAGACAGAACCACCGCGTTTCAGACGTTCTTGCGGAAGCACGGTGGTCGGCGCCAGCTCTCAGAAGGAAAGGCGCCCCGCTTCGTGCGTGTTTGAGTACAGAATGCTTCCCTGCCCAGAGGTAAACACACCTTTGAATTTCTAGGTGCCTCAGCTGATGCTTCGGTCTGTTGAGAGGCTCCAGCCGTAGGAAATTTCAAGCCAGTCTGCTTTTCTGTGCCGCGCCGCCCTGGGCTTCTTTGTTACTTTGTTACCGAAGCCACTTCGTTTCCAACCGTGCAGAACCAGTAGGTCAGTCGCCTGGGTGCAGGGCCAGGCGCCGCTCCAAGAGCCACAGATGGAACCTCCAGGCAATTAAAACACAGAACCCTCCTGCCTGTGGCAAAATCATGGCTGGTCCTTGAAGGTCATCTGTCCTATGCTTGGAGGCCACTCAGGGTCCTGGCTGTGTATACAGAGGAAACGACCTGTCTGAGGGAGAAAAATTAGCTATGTAGGATGGTCCTTTGGATTTGATCCAAAAACCTCTACTGAATCTAAGCACAGGAGACTGATTTTTCCCCCCCAGAGCTGAGGACCGAACCCAGGGCCTTGCGCTTGGCTAGGTAAGTACTCTACCACTGAGCTAAATCCCCAACCCCCTGATTTTCTACTATTTTCCTTTAGAGACAGGCTCTCAGGTATCCCAGGCTGGCCTGGAACTTGTCATTTGGTCCAAGATGGCCTTGAACCCCTGAGCCTGCTGCCTTTGCCTATTGGATGTTGAGGTTGCAGCATATGGCCCCCACACCCAGATGTATACATTCTGGGGCTGAATCCAGGGCGTTGTGAGTGCTAGGCAATCAGTCTACCTACTCACTGGGCTACATCTCAACCACTAAGATCAATTACAATTCTCTGTAATTTTTTTTTTGGACAGGTCTCTCATGTAGCTCAGGCTGGCTTTGAACTTGTTATATAGCCAAGGATGACCTTGGGCTACTTGATCCCCCTGCCTCCACCTCCCAGTGCTGGCCTTACAGGTGTGTGCTACCTCTCCCACATTGATTTTGATTCTTTTCAGTTAGTCTCTCCCTGAGAGCCGAAGGTAAACACACCAGTCACCAAGCTAAACAACCCAACTTGGATTCCCAAGACTCACGTGGTGGAGAGACGGACGCCCGAACGCTGGCCTCTGACCCCTATGTGCATTGCCACGGCATGTGCTTGTGTGCAAACATATACACTAAACAAATGTAATACATTTAAAACTAAATGTTAGGGCTGGAGAGAAGGCTCAGCAGTGAAGAGCACTGACTGCTATTCCAGAGGACGCAGGTTCAATTCCCAGCACCCACATGACAGCTCGCAACTGTCTGTAACTCCAGTTCCAGGGGATCTGACACCCTCACACAGACATGCAGGCAGGTAAAACACCAATGAACACAAAATTTAAAAAAAAATCATTTTAAAAATAGCATAAATATTAGATGAGTACCTATGATACCATTAGGGTTAGTCCTTGTGCTAGGAGTTGAGTGGTGGCCGGAGGGGGAGCCGGACAGTAAAGGGGGCCGCTGTGATTAGGGTGTCAGTAGGTCATCTGAACTTGGGTTGCATTTTGTTAAATGCAAACGGTATAGATGTGACGATGACTTACATGTTGTCCACAGCTGTCTTACGAGCTTCGCCGCTAGAGCGGTAGGATATGTGACATCAGCTTTGAAGAATTAAGGAGCTGGGCATGGTGGTGTACATCGGTAATCCCCACCCCTGGGAGGCTGAGACGTGAGAATCGTAAGTCTGAGGCTAGCTTGGCCTGTACGTAGCAAGTTCCAGACCAGCCTGGGCCATACATATAACGTCTCAAAAGGGCTAGGGGGTGGAGAGGCATTGGGGAAATGTCATTTCCTGAACCAGTCAAGTTTCCAGACAGGGTGAGAATGGTTCTCCTTAGAGAAAAGGATGAGGAATAGTCAAAATATAGGGAAATGATGGGGATCTTTCCTGAGAGTTGGAGATCAAGTGTACAGAGCTGGGGACCAGACCAGGACCTCAAACATGCTAGGCAGTCTTTATACCATTGACTACACACACAGCTCAGATGGGCATATAAATAAATAAATAAATAAATAAATAAATAAATAAATAAATAAAAATAGAACCAGCGCCAGCAAGATGGCTCATTGCTAAACGCCAAGTCTGTCGGCCTGAGTTGGATCCCCAGAACCTACACGGTAGAAAGATAGAATCAACACCAACAACTTGACCTCTGACCTCTACGTGCACGCATGGTGTGTTGTAGCCGGTGTCAGTTCAAACTTTGGGAGTCTGACCCCAAGTTGTTTGTTTTAGGTGTATTTAAACACAGCACAACCTGGCCGAAACCATTCTTGTGATGATTCACTCAAGCCCGAGTGCACAGCAAGGCATACCTAAATCTCTCTGTTGGAACAGAGTAAGCTGAATTCAGATCCGACATGGCTGCATCGAAACTCTCGGTGAAGCACACGAGACACCTTCCATAAAGGACAGGTTCTGTAGATTGACTGAGGAAAACCAAGTTTATGAGAACGGGCTAGAAAGTCCCTGGCCACATAGACTGCACAAAGGTCACCAGGCTAGACAGCACAGCTGCTTTAGCCTTCTGGGCAGAAAACAGGTCTTGCACTCCTTCCCTTGAAGGGACCATACTGTGTGCTTAACATGCTGGGTTCCCCCAGTGCATGTCTGTGAGCACAAAGACCTCCGTGCTCCCTACAATAAATAAATGTAATAAAAGAAAAAGCAATAATCTATATGGGACAGAATTTCCCCCATTTGATAGATTTTTTTGCTTAAGTATAAAAACAAAAACAGGCTTTTCTCTCCTTCATCCATGTAATAAATGGGTTCTGATGCCACCATTTTGAAAACCATAGTTCATACCCTTAGGCTGTTCCAATAGTTTGTTCTTGTCGGCATTAATTACTTTTGCTCAATCTCTCCTGCTTGTTTGGTGGTTTTTGTTGAATTATTTACGTACAGTGAGGTGCTTGGCTTTAAGCGTGCCATTTGGTTTTGACCCAAATATGCATTCTTATAGCCCACACTCTTTTTCATTTTACTTGAAAAATCTTGAAATCCTCTTAAGTGATGAACATTTATGACCAAAGGCAGATTTTCAGAAGGAATCCTCTATTTAGCACACCGACTGTCCCCTCCGCCTCCCAAGAGAAAATTCTCCTGTGCTCACCAATCAACTCAGAGGACTGAGAGCCCTGAGAATAGTTTGTAATCCCAGATTTCTGAAACCTAACAGAGAGATTTGTGTGATCTGGAAACAAGGGGAGATTACGTGCAGAATTTGATTCTGACAACAGAAAGAAACAAGCGCCGACGAGGGCCAGCGCCAGAGGATTAATCCAGGCACCACTGTGCCACTGCCGGACGGCCTTGCGAGACTCCAGCAGCCACGAGCCGTCTCTGAAGGAGTCTGCTAACTGCCCATCATCCAACAGCCACGTTCCTTGAGAGACGGACCCACGCACACATTGGGAGTGTGGCCCTTCACCCTGCCAAACTCTCCCGTGGGTTCTCCTGAGCCACAGATGCCATGGTCCAGCCCCCTCTGCTCTGTCTCACTGCCCTGGCATGGTGAGACGTCCTTCCAGAACTCCAGGAAGTTCCTCTTTTGCGTACTTCTCACCTGGTGGGTTGTACGCTCAAACGGCAGAGTAACATGTAATGACTTAACCATTACGATAAAGGCCACACCTAATGGCGCACGCAAGGCTTCGTGTGAAAGTACTCTGGAAGCAACCGAGGTAGGTATAACCCAAAGGGTTAATTTAAAATGGCTTCCTATGTGGCCGGGTACCTCACAGTGCCTACATTTCCATTACATCTCACCGTTGGTGAGGCAAGCCATTTTAGGTTTCCACATCGACACTTTCCCATAGCTTAATGATATGTCTGCAATCTCCCTAAACCTGAACTAAATTCTTCTCGAAGGTCACGGTACCTGCCGGTCAAACTTTTAAAGATCCATGAAGCTAACTGGTTCATCATTGAAATCCCAGCTCTCAGGAGGCTGAGGCAGAGGGATTGCTACAAGTTTGAGTCCAGCCTGGGCTACACTTCAGGGAATTCTGGGTCAACTTGGCCTGCAGTATGAGATACTGTCTCAAAACAAACAAAACAGTGGTTAAGATGGCTGGACAAGCCAGGCGGTGATGGCACACGCCTTTGATCCCAGCACGAGAGGCAGAGCCAGGCGGAGCTCTGTGAGTTCGAGGCCAGCCTGGTCTATGGAGCAAGATCCACGATAGGCACCAAAACAACACAGAGAAACCCTGTCTCAGAAAAAAAAAAAAAAAAAGAAAAGAAAGAAAAAAAAAAAAGATAGCTAGACAAATCAAGGCTCTTGTCTCCAAGCCTCACAGACTGAATGCAATGGCCCCGGACTCACATGGCAGAGGGAGAGACCTCCTTCAGTCTGACCTTTGACCATCACGCGTGCACCCTGGCATGTGTGCGCTCCCCTTTATATAAATATGTAAATTGTGGGGCTGGAGAGCTGACTCAGCAGTTTAGTGCACCAGCTGCTCTTGCAGAGGACCCAGGTTTGGTTTGGTTCTCAGCACCCGTGTGTCGGCTCACAACCATCTGTAGCTACAGTTCTAGGGGACCCGGTGCCTCTTCTGAGCTCCACAGGCTCCTGCGTGCATGTGGCGCACGTACATGCACTCAGGCACACAAGCAGTAAATAACTAATTTTTAATGTAATCCATAATACAAAGTCTATGAAGAAGGGCATGGTATTCGCTGGCTGTTGTATTCCCGGCGCCTGGCACACAGTGGGCATGCATTAATGCTTTGTTGTTACCGGGTTCTGCGCATCTCAATGAAAACATTCCATTGGCCTTTTGGGAACCCAAGTCCTGACATTTAGAAGTGTGAACCGGCCTCTAGTGGCTGAGTTACCTCTCCAGCCCTTTCCTGACCTTTTGGAATATAATTTCTCCCCTCCCCCCTCCTCACACCCCCTCCCCTCTCCAGAAGGATGACCTATCATACTGGAACCAGCGCTGGGCTTCCTCTTCGTTGATTCTGTTTGGCCTCAGCGTAGCTTGTCTGTGCTTCTTGTCTGCAGTGACGAAGCCTGGCCTGTTCGTCACCACGTGGAAGTCCAGGCCATAGACACCAACGCTTGGGTCGTATGTGATGCTCAGGTGACAGGTGACTGTCTTCCTGGGTCCCCACACCAAAGCTTATTCTTCCCCAAGTCACACTGTGACCCGTGGGCCCCTTCTCTATGGTCCCTCCCTTCCCCCACGCCACTGCTTTGCAGTGTGAGCCGCGATCTTTTCATCCTTCCTGAAGCCAGTGTATCTAGCTTTGGCGAACACAGGGTCTGGCCCTCGATCTGTCTGTGTGGCCCGAGAGCTGGCTGTCTGTCTGGCCCACACAGACACCGAGGCAGAGTTCACCCTGATCTGCCCCGATGGAGACCAGGAGCACCCCCCACACACACACCCATTAACTTCTGTTAGATGAACAAATCTAATTGATCTGATCCTCTTGTCTTGTTAGCGGCTTCCCAAAAATAGCTGCATTTTCTTAGAAAAAAAAAAAAAAACAAATTAACTCAGCTCTGCTAGCATCATAGCCCCACATCAGCTTCTTCAAGAATTCGCCATTGCTTGTGAGATGAAGTTCAAACTCTCCAATGTCACATCCCAGGTCTTTCCTGGTCTGGTGCCAAACCACTTTTCCTGGCCTGTGTTACAACCTTTATTCTCCCTCCTCCTCCTCCTCCTCCGTTGCCAGGCACTTTCCCAAGAGCACTCAGCCCTGGACGCACACTCTTCCCTCTGTATGGAACGACCTTCTCCTGACCCTCTTTATTCAGATGATAGAATTCACTTTCCCTTACACACACACACACACACACACACACACACACACATCTCAAATGTCACTTCTTCAGCAGCCTTCTCTACCCCCCCTCCCTGATGATTCTGTTTCAGACTTCCAGAGAACCCAGCCTGTAATTCCCTAATTGCCCAGTTCCCATTCTATTACAGTTGGCTTTCTCCTTTCTCTGTTTGTTTTGTTGTGTTTGGGGGTTCTTTTCTTTTCTTTTTCTTTTTTTTTCTTTTTTTTTTTTTTTTTTTTTTTTTTGCAAGTTCCTGGAGCACAGATTACAGGGAATGGATGTTACATTTTGTTTGTTTTGCTTTGAGTCAGGGATTTGTGTAACCCAGGCTGATCTTGAACTCTCTCTGTGGCCAAGGACGATCTTGAACTCCTGGTCCTCCAGTGTCAGCAGCCTCCAGAGCGCTGGGATGACAGGCATGTGCCCCCCTGCCTGGCTGGATCTCACCTCTTCCTTACCACCTCCCCCAACTGTTACCCCAGTTCTGCCATCATCATCGCCCCTCACCTGTGCTTTGAGACATCACCGGCCTGCCGCCGCCTCATTTCCACACTCACCGCCCACAGTGACACCACCCACGGCGATGAGGCTGTGTCTCGGTGAGCCATCCTGTGATCAGAGGCCTCCGAGTATCTGTCCCCTATCTCCCTTCCGTCACGGTCCTGCTCACCACAGCCCTTCCTGCCTCTTGGCCGTGCTGAACACAAGTTCTCTTCTCCTCAGGACATTTGAATCTCTCCCCTCTGTGAAAACTCTTTTCCCAGAAAGATACATGAATCGCTTTTGTTTTCTGATCAATACACACACACACACACACACACACACACACACACACACACATCCCTGCAGAGATGCCTTTCCTGATAGCTGTCTAAACTGGGGCATAGTGCATGGGCAGGTGCTTGCCCAGCATACGCTAGGCCCAAGTTCTAACCCCTGCGCGGTTTAACAAAGGAACAGGTACTTGTTGAACGGGTGCCTCTCTGTACAGCAGATGTATAGCACAACACCTGGTCACATACATCAGTGTTGGCTACCCAGCAAATTCACAAAGTTTACAACCGCAACGGAGTTCCAGCCCACATCCAGGGTGATCTGAGACGTGAATACAGATGTCTCAGCCGTTTATTCTGTGAGCTTAATTCTGGTTTATTTCATTTGCTTTAATAATCGCAAGATGACCAGGTTCTTAGGGTTTTCCAAACAAGTGGCTGACGGGTCTTTCTCAGGAGTGGTTAGGTTTCAGAAAGGTTAGTCAGCACCACAGCAGGGCTTTCGTCGGCCCTTTGCTGCTGACCGGCTGCTGAGGGGTTCCATTCTTCATCTTCTGAGGTCTGCATTGTGTGTACATCGTACACAGTCCTCCAAACACTGGGTATTCTCGGGTCTGGAGCAGGTTAGATGCTGCCCAAGGGTGGGCCCTTTAGGCCCTGCATTTCCCAACAGATGTTCCAAGAGTCTTTAGGGTTGCATTCCTTCTTGTCTCCCCTCTCCCCTCACCCCTACCCCATTCCTCCATATTGGTTGTTAAGAACCTGAGTCATACCCGCCAGATGGTGGTGATGCACACTTCTAATCCTAGCACTCCGGGAGGCAGAGGCAAGTGGATCTCTGTGAGTTCCAGGCCAGCCAGGGCTGTTACACAGAGAAACCCTGTCTTGGAAAACAACAACAAAAACAAAAAACCAAACAAAAGAACCTGAGCCACTTTGATAAGGGAAGTCTATTCCTCAAACTAAGTGAACTGGGAACAAACTGTAAAAAGTTTCCTTGTTCAATTGGTTCTGTGCAATTGCTTTTCCCGGGCCATCCTGGTTTTGTTTGTCCATTTGCTTGCTCTGTGTTTTGTTTATTTGCTTGCCTGCCTGTTTTGAGACAGGGACTCACTATGTAGCCCTGGCTGGCCTGTAACTCACTATGTAGACCAGGATAGCCTCCTAGAGATCTACCTGCCGCTGTCTTCTGGGTGTTGGGATTAAAGGTGTGTGCCACCATGCCTCCTCCTCTTCCTCCTCCTCCTGATAGGGTCTCATGTAGCCCAGGCTGGCCTGGAAATCTTTACACAGCCAGGACTAGCCTCTTCTCAGTCTTGAACATCGAATCCTCCTGTTTGCATCTCCCAAGGCATTACGGGCATGTGCCACCACACTCAGCCTTTCCCCGCAAGGGTAGGAGCCCAAGCTGGCCTCAAGTTCACAGCAATCCTCCTGCCTCAGCCTACTCAGTGCTAAGATGACAGGAATGTACCACCACATCCAGATCCATTTCTCTTTCTCGCATGCACATACACGAAAGTACACCATGCAGAAAAGAGGGACCTCCTCGAAGCCTGTGTAATATTGGGAGTCTGCCCATCTATGGCAACGAGGCTAAGCAGTGAGTGGGTTGTAGGGATAAAGCAGGGACCGAGTCTAGAACAGGGAGAAGTCCCCACCTCCGGATCTCAGCTCTCCCACTACTAAACACCGGTGGACGATGGGCCTCAGGAGATGCAGAAGGAAGAGAGCCCGCTCACCGCGTGTGTGCCCTGTCCAAGCACCGGGGCCAGCCTTTCGTGTATACCGTGTCTTCTGGTTGTCACCAAGAAATCAGTTTGGAAGAATTTGCATTTCACAGGAGAGGGGAAACAGGCTCGGGGAAGTTGATGACACTTGCCCAAGCTACCCAGATGGCAAACTGCAGAGCTGGGATTTGAGACTGAACCCATCCCAGCGTGACTTCCTGGCTGCCTACCAAGGGCAGGAGTCTCCCAACAGCTAGAAGGGCTGGGGGTGGGTGGGTGGATGGGTAGAAACACAGACGCAGCAAATGGGTCCTACCTGGAACTTGATCGCCACCAGGCACTTCCGGGACAGGTAAACGGCAGCCAGATGCCACCTGGCTCTTCTTCTGTTGTGACAACTGTGAATTCTGTGGCTGACTTGCAGGGGCGGTGATCGTCCCACCGCGCTCGGTGGAGGGTGGGTGGAAGGCTGCATAGATGCATTCCTTCTAGCATTTGACCTTCCAGGTCATCTGACTCCTGTGTGTGGGGGTGGTGTCACAGAGTGCCCGCATCCCGACTGAGTCTCTAGTGTCCTGCACCCCTTTGGTCCTAGAGCCAAAGTTGTTCCCTCTGAAGAGTGCATGCACCCTTGCTTGCGTTTGGGGGCGACGGGCTGACCCCGGGCACGGTGGGATCCTGCACACATGAAGATAAGGGGCTCCGCCAGTCCTTTTGGGGAGGTTCGCCTGCCCCTTCCCTAGCGCTCCTGTTTGGTGCCGCAGCGCCCCCTTGGCCACCAGAGGCACCCGGAAGCGGGACTCCCCGAGCGCGGGGCGGGGCGAGGGGCGGGGCGCAGCGGCACCTGGGCCGCGGGAGAGCAGGGGGTGGGCTCTCGGGGGACAGCAGGCTACCCCCCCAGATCCGCAACGCCGGCCGCCGGGAGCTCCGGGCTCCGGGCGCAGAGGCT